ACTAAAAAGAGGATACAAGCCCCAATACTACTTCATTTATGGCCTAATTTTTGGTTTGATTGATATCCCTTTCATATTCCTTTGACCTGAGGCACAAGAGAAGTCATACAAAAAAGGTCATTTCGTGCAATGGATAACGGGCGGGTCTACTATGGAATCTTGAATTCAGCGAATGAGGGAAGTGTCAGGAAGTCGGCTTTCTATAGGAATATTCGAACGAAAAGGAGAAAGAAACCATATCTTACTAATTAATCTGACTGAATGAGGAAGAGCTTTTTATGTGGTCTCTGTAACACCATCAGTGTTATGTGAAACTTCAATTCATGGAAGCCGGTCCACGAAGATTCTTTCTTTTCTAACATGCAATCCCTCTTTGCCAAGCATCTAGTATCTTAGCAAATGAACATTTCTCTAAGCTATCCTGTAGCTAATACATCATTTGAAAAATGGTTCAAGCATCCATCAAGCCAAGGTTTGTTGATTCTCCTTGGCTACAATCCCAGGGACATCACAAATAGTACTTACTATTCCTACTTTTTCCACTTCACAAATGGGCTTTATATTCTCTAAGGACCATAAGATTCATTACATCGCGTTCAATTCAAGCTGGGCGATTAAAAGTTTGATAAACAATAGCATGAACTCTTGTTCTTTCACCTTCTGTCATGCTAAAGTTAACTAACTTCTAGATCAATTGCTTTTGCTTACCATGCAAGCACCCTATATAGCTTAGAATTTCTGAGCAATTAGAAGCCGCTTTCAATGATGATGCCAAAAATATAATACTAAAGTATGTAAACATAAGCTAGCATTTGTTTGTGTATGAAAGCTTATTATTAATTGACTGAAAACATTCGAGTTCACATAGTAAAAAATGTTTGAATTCTATACTCTAGACATTCATATACACTAGAGAGTACTAGTACGGAATCTGGAAGCAGATGCTACTTCACATTGAAATGATTAAAAATCCTTGTTATCAGAAAAGAAAAAAAGAGAGAAGAGGGTCACTTTAATGAAGAGCACTTTGAAAGGAAGGAGGGTCGCTTTAATGAAAAGCACTTTGTCGATCCTTCCTACTTATTTCCTCTCTTTTTTTTAGATTCTGTCTTCTGTGGCTGAGAGGATTGAGTGGCTATGACGGATATTTCTTTGGGGAGGTAAGGGGGAGGAGTCCAAGTTTCATCTGGTTCATTAGAGCAGGCGTGTTATCCGATTTTGAAGGGAGGGTTGGGCATTCGGAGACTGGGAAGACTTGTGGTGTGGTGACTGATCTCTCACTCTTACTTTCCCTCAGACACTTCAGTATTGCCACAGATAGACACGCTTTGGTTGTTGACTACTATCGACTTGATAACGGGAGAACAACTTGGGATGTGCGCTTTTCGAGGCTTTTTCAGGATTTGGGGATTGAGGATATCATTGGATTGTTGGGGATGGTGTACCACAAAGAGTTTTAGGGTGGAGCTTTTGACTTATGGGTGTGGATTCCATCTTTCCAGGGACGTTTTGATGTTAGATCCTTAGTTAGATGTTTTACGGTTGTTCCTGTACATTCTTTCCCAAGGAAGACTATCTGGCATTCAAAGGCCCCCCTTAAGGTGGCTTTCTTTGCTTGGACCTCTATTTTTAGGAAGATTTTGACTCAGGATAATTTTAGGAAGGGGAGACAGGTGGTGGTTAACTGTTGCTTCATGTGCAAGAGAGATGAAGAAACAGTGGGTCACCTTCTCTTGCATTGTCCGGTGGCCTGGGATTGTTGGGTTTGCTTGGAGTTCAGTGGGCCATGCCTAGATCCTCCAGAGACTTGGTGGAGGCTTGGAGAGGGTGTAGGTGGTGGCCCAAGCCCCTGACAGTTGGAAGGTTATGCCTTTTTGCATTTTGTGGTGCTTATGGCTTGAAAAAAATAGGAGCTCTTTTGAAGGAAAGGAGAATCCTATTGGATTATTGAAGTGTTCTATTATTAACACTCTTTTTTGTTAGGTTCTAGGGAGAAATTGTAAATCCATGATAGAGTTAGTTGATTTTTTGGGCTCTCTTAGAGTTTAGAGGCCCTATTTGGGCTTTTGAACTTTCTTTGGGATGCGTTCCTCTTTTGAACGCTCTTGTTAATACAATCTTACTTATAGAAAACAAAAAAAAAAAAAAAAGAAAAAAAAAGAAAAAGAAAAAGAAAAAGAAAAAAAAGATGAAGAAAACAAATACAGATGATTCTAAAGGTACATGAGATCCCAATAAACCAGATTAGTAAGTTTATCCTAAAAAATGACATTGATAATTTATAACAAACACTGGCAAACCACAAACACAAACAAGAATTGACAAAAAACATAAAACCATGCACCACGAAACACAAGATTACATGATTCAGCTTATAGCCAAAGTCTACGGTGATGATCGCCAAATAGTTTTCACTATGTGAAGAACAAATGCAGATTACAAATTATCAAGACCCTCTCTCCCTCTCTCTCTTGCTTTCAATGTTCTCTGTATCCCACACTACAAACCCTAACACCCTTGTATACCAGGTTACAACAGAGATGATTCCTGGTCCACGACCTGCAAGACAAAACAGGTCAAAAAATAAGTAAAATATTCCCCCATTATCGGGTCGCAACGGCCGAAACAAAATTCGGGCCACACCTCCACGAACAATTGAGAAATAAACAATGGTCAAAGGGGTCCAAATTGAAGAGGACGTCCTTATAATAAACAAAGGTCAAACTGATCTTATTACTAATAAAGGTTAAGAAGGAGTTTTAACAAACTTTGAAAGACTAAACTGAAGAAGTTGTTACCCTGTGTTGGTCAATGTTGATCAATATTGTTTAGGGTAAACTACTTATAGGCTTAACCTTTGGTATTTTTCTTGCACAAAGTAGTTGCTGCTCTTAGACTCAAATCCTTAAACATAAGATTAAATGAAGGAATGAAATAATAGAAACATACAAAAGGTTTTGGTGGTTGGGGACTACGCATGGAGGCCAAGTTTCGTTCTCAAGATAAATATAGAAGCAATTGGGGGTAGAGAGAGAGAGGCTCCTCTCCGTTTTTTTTTTTTTTTCTCTACTTCTCCACTTTCTTATATTCTTAGAGAGAATTTGGCATTGTGTAGCTTTTGAGGGATGAGTTTCCCTTTTGAACGCCTCTTTAATTCAATCTTTCTTATCAAAATAAGTATATTCTTAGAGAGATTTGTGATGTTTTCATTGTTCTTAGTTCCTCTTTTCCTTGGAAAAGACTTGGGGAAACAACTTTTTTCAGGTGATAATAGGTTTTAATAGAAACTACATTATTTCAGCGAGTCTCTATATTTTAGCATTTTATGCATGTTTTTCCATGTGTCTCGATCAAACAAATTCATTTTTATATAAACAGCTGATTCTTTTTTCTAGTTGCATTCCACGGGTAACCAAAATGTTTTGGCCATTTCAGTTGAAACGAAACTAAATATTGTTTCCTTCTGTACTTTATTAGTGATTTCCCAAGAATGCTGTAACGACTCACTCCACCACATGGTATGATATTGTCCGCTTTGGGGCCTGAGTCCGCACGGTTTTGCTCTTGGGTTTCACCCCAAAAGGCCTCATACCAATTGGAGATGACACACTTACATATAAGCACTTCACCTTTCCTCTACCCAGGCGATGTGGGACTGTGCACCCGTAACTCGCCAGTGTAGTAGCCTGACAGTGTCTCTCGCACCCGCCTACAGCACACCCGCCCACAAGGTCATCACAAATGCAAATTTCGTAATTCAAGTGTGTTAAAATTCATCATTCACCCTCATCTAGTATTGCAAATGCTGGACAGTTCTTGAAACCATTTATAGTTCTTATCCATTGGAATCTCTTTCTTCAATGTGTATATTGAAGATTTGATAGAGGAATCAGTGGAGGAAAATCTTCTAGTAATTTATGTTGTTTCCTATTATTAAAGATTTACGGTTACTAAATGAATCAGTGGAGAAAAATCCTACTTGTTTCCTATTTTATATCTCTTTCCATTCTCATCATATATTCTCCTATATAAAGGAGCCTCCAGTATTGTATTGTGAATGAGTTGAGAGAGTATTGTAAAAGTGATGTAGCCATTTGGGCTCTTTGTGTCATGGACGTAGGCCCTAGTGGCTAAACCACGTAATATATGTGTTCTTCTTGTTTCATTTCTCTCTTCACTTCTATTTCATTATTTACAACATGGTATCAAAGCCTAATTTCTCTTCCTAGGTTCGGACCTCTATTTTGGGGTATTCCCTTGGCATTTGAAATGTCGCCAAGTGTTTCTCGGTGCTATTTGTGACTTGTTTGGGCTACCATTGTGTTTGGTAGCATTATTCTTTGCCTTTACTGTGTCTCCGACAGTTTTTATTGACTTGTTTGGGATGCCGGAGTGTTCGGTAGCATTGTATTCGCCTTTGCCATGTCTCTGGTATTTTTATTGACTTTTTTCGGCTGCCGGTGTATTCGGTAGCATTGTCTTCGCCTTTGCCGTGTCTCCGGCAGTTTTTTGTTGAATTGTTTGGACTGCCGATGTGTTCGGTAGTATTGCTCTTCGCGTTCTCTTTTCATCATTCACACTTGTTGCTACTCGTCATCTTAATGGCAAGTTGGGCATTCATGCTCCAACTTGAAGGGGAGTATTGAAGATTTGATGTAGGAATCAGTAGAGGAAAATCTTTTAGTAATTTATGTTGTTTCCTATAATTGAAGATTTACTGTTACTAGATGAATTAGTAGAGAAAAATCCTCCTTGTTTCCTATTTTATATCTCTTTCCATTCTCATCATTTATTCTCCTATATAAAGGATCCTCCACTATTGTATTGTGAATGAGTTGAGAGAGCATTATAAAAGTGATGTAGCCATTTGGGCTCTTTGTGCCGTGGACGTAGGCCCTAGTGGCTGAACAACATAATATATGTGTTCTTCTTGTTTCATTTCTCTCTTCACTTCTATTTCATTATTTACAACAGTATATTATTCTTTTCTTGTTCTGTAGGCTATGGACCAGGCTTTAAAACGAGGCATTATTGTCATTGATGGTTCTGGACCTACTTATGCCACTTCCACTGTAAGAGTACTGCTTTAGAAATGCCTTTTCGTATTTCTTTTGGTTGTTGACTTATTGTGCTCTCCACTAGAAAATAACCTTGATAAAGTTGAGCCTGTTGATTTAATAAGCTAACAATAAGTTGTTCACTCAGTTTTTTGACATTGCTAATGGTGCAGACATTCCAGGAATCACTAATTGCAGCTGGAGCTGGAATTTCCTTGGTTGATGCAGTGGTGATGTCTCAATCTATCACGTTAGTCATTTCATGATTATCTGCCTTCCTCCTACCACCCCCCTGCCTTCCTCACTCCCCTACCTGTTGTGATTGTTTTAGATTTCCTAAATTGAATCTTTAACTAATGAGACCCTACAAACTCATCTTCTGACAGGAGTACTATTGGCTGAAGTTCTTTATGATACTAGATTTTTTTATTCCCTGTGATTATAAGCTCACATAAATAATTTCTATATGACATTTCAGGTGGCAGCATCACAGGTTAGCCAGGACCCTGCTACGGGTTTTGCTTTGATAAGACCCCCAGGTCATCATGCTGTCCCTAAGGGTCCCATGGGATTTTGTGTTTTTGGAAATGTGGCCATTGCAGCTCGCTATGCCCAACGTGTACATGGATTAAAGCATGTTTTCATAATTGATTTTGATGTTCACCATGGGAATGGAACCAATGATGCTTTCTATGATGATCCAGATGTATTCTTTCTGTCAACTCACCAAGTAAGCCATGATCTATTCAGTTCCTGTCATCTCTTAAGTTGTCCTGCAACTTCTTTGCTATTACCTCGTGGCAAATGGTCTGATTTCCTTTTCATTTTTTGGCATCATAAATTTTGATGTTATCAGTGAGTAAACATTTGACTATAGAGGATCTGAAAATGGCGAAGCCAGATCCAATATCCTACTCATAAAAAATGCATCTTGTTTATACAGTTCAGACCACTAGGATTGACAGCACGGTTTAAAAGGTTCAAAAAGGCGAGGGTTTAGTTTAATGTCATGTTATATGTATAAATCATCAAATGGTATTATATAGCTTCATTTGGCTTTACAAATAACTAACTAAAGAAAATGGCCATGTGAATAATTCCTAGTAGTTGAGATTAAGGCTGTTGAATTAAGTTCAGTTTATAAATCTCTACTTAGCAAAGCCTTAAACTAGCTTATTGAGGTCAGCTAAACAAATACAAGTGATGTAGCTTTCATCAAATCGTAGGCATAATGCTGTTGCCCACAGCCAGAACCCAGTTCCTCTTTGCTTTCTCGCAACCTAGTAAATTTTATGCACATTTCTTCTAGGCAGTACTGCACTTTTAGGGACTGTCAAAGATGAGGTATGCTGTGTTTGGTGAAGTCATTTATTTTTTATCATATTAGGTTTGCACTGAAAGTAAGGCAGAAAACATGAATTTTTCAGCAACTCAATGTTTGTGTTGAACCAGATAAGAGAATGAGGTGTGTCAGGTCAATAACACTTGGGCTGGCAAATTTCTAAGGAAAAAACTGGAGCATAAACAGTGAATTTATTTTTTTTAATATATATTTTTAATTATTTCTAGTTTAGATTAGACATTTCAAAATTTAATTAGTTTTAGTCGTTATTGCTTGCTCTCATGGTTGAAGGAGGAATTTGAAGTTGCATACAAGAGCAAATGTGTAATCTTCTACACCAAGAGTAAAATGGTAATTTACTTATTAAAAAAAAAAAAGAAGAGTAAAATAGTAAATTTAACACTAGGATGCACTCATCAAATTAGGGTTCATACACACATGCATTAGCGTTTCTAATATTACATGATTTGATTTCCTAAATCTTTTTAAATATGCATAAATTGTTTTCTGAAACTAACTGTTCTGAAATTTTTTATGCATCAAAACTGCAGTAGACTTGGATTACTCGAGTTGTGTCGATCGATCGAGGGCCAGTAGAGTTGTGTCAATCGATTGAGCCATGCGGAATTTTAGTTTCCTTTTCTAATTAGAACTCTGACAATCCTATTCTCTCTATACCTATACTTTGCCTATATGTACGAGATTCTATAGCAATTTGAAAAACAACTCATACACACAAAGTGAGCATAATTGAGAGCGAGCATAATCGTGAGCTCTATAGTGCATCTTATTTTTGTTCGCATTCATCATTCTTAGTTTTGGTGAGTAAGTCATCTAGTTGAAATGACAAATCTTGACTTTATTATTATTTTTTGATAAGTAATAATTGAATTAAAAAGGTGTTCAAGAGGGGAACGCATCCCTTGTACAAAAGTGGAACCGGGGTTTAAGGCCCCAAAGAATCCAAAAAAATGATTAAATCATCGGGAGAGGAACGGGACTTCCTCTTCACATAACTGAAAAGAGAGCACATGATGTGAAATTTCAGAATCGCCGTGGACGACTGTTTCCCTTCGAACATTCTACTATATCTCTCCTTCCATATGCACCATCAGACACAATGTGGTACAACTCTCCAATAATCGCGAACAACACTTCTCACACGGCATCCTCTCTAAACACGAATCAAATCCTTAGGATAACGAGGCATAACCCAACGCATACCAAACAGACAAAAGATAAGATTCCAACAATCACTTGCCACAGGACAATGCATGAGAATATGAGCAACTGACTGACCATCTTGTTTGCATAGGCAACACCAGTTAACAAGCCAGTTGCCCCTTTTCCTTAGATTATCAATCGTCAGGATCTTACCCTATAAAGCGGTCCAAACAAAGAATGCCACCCTAGTTGGAGCCATAGAACGCTAGATAGTCTTCCATGAAAAATCAATGATATCAAAATCAGAAAGACATAAGAATTAGGATCGAACTTCGAAGCGACCATGGGAAGAGGGAATCCATGTCATGTCGTCACAACCTCTGCCAACTGCCTCCTGTCGATACAGCAAATCCAGAAAAACACATACCTCGTCCACCTCCCATGTTGACTTTTTATGCACCTCTAAACCTTATGTACTCCTATTTGTGTGGGATTAAGGACATAAACATCCATAAATAGGTTTGAATCCTTACAATCCACTCACAGCCATCTTCAAACCTTTCCTAACTCTCAAATGTCTTTTACTCTCGAGCACTCTAGTTTTCTCTCTAAATTATCTCGCCACTCTCTCGTGCTTCTCTATTGAGAATGGCTCTCTTCACGTGGACTCTAGCACTCCTTGTCTTAGGGGTTGGTATGGGTACATCCCGCGATGGTTCAAAATGTCAAAGGAATGAGAAATCTCTGATTCCTCCTCCTAGGGAAGAACTGCATCTCCAAGGGCCGTTGTCTAATCATTGAAAGGAAGGCCAAACTAGAAGATTCCAAGCCATATGGAGTTGACACCATGATCATATCTAGACAACGGTCGTTCATTACCCCAGTTCGTGTGTTTTACGTCAACATTCATGAGGACGTTGTCTACAACACGTACATAACGTCATACACTGATGTTGTTTTCAAGATCATTCCGGCAAACATAGAAACTATGATCGGCACCCCTCATCCGCAAGGTGGATTGGTGCTTCCAATGGATGAAGAACATTGTGTTGCGATCTCCAACCTCAACAATGTCATTTGTGCACATGCTCTTGATCTAGCATATGGTTCAAGGCCCATAAACCTCAAGCCTCAATTTCAAGTTCTTAACAAGATCTTGGAATTAATCTCGAACCTAAAGACCATATGGAGTTACCACGTAAATGTCTAGAGTTTATCTACTACATGGGCGTTAGTTGCTAGATTGACCTCCCCGCATCAATTGCTAGATACACAATCCTTACCGAATTAGACAATAATAATAGAAAAGCCTTACTGTTTCTTCACCTTGTATTATTGGATAAGCTATTAGGTACATGTTCAGCCAAAAGTGTCCGATATATATATCCCGTACCCATGTCCGACATATATCCCATACACATGTCCGAGTATTGTGTGTCCAGCACGAGTAATTCACCTACTTTTGAAGAGTCCATGTAACATAGCTTCAGTGTTTATGTTAGGAATATGAGTCATGTTGGCAATTCCTACTTTAAACTTGGATTGTGATGTGTCTCAATATCCTGAGTGCTGTTCGTCTACAACCTCAACAGATGATGGAAATAGATCTCAGCAAAAAATGCGTCGAAAATCTCTCCATACTCGATCACATCTAGGTTTAAATATAAATGAGGCCGTAGATACCAGCTTTGATCTAGCTTTGATCTTTTTATTAGCTCAAAAGCATGTTTTAACATGTTTTCAATATGGAGTTTTTATCCTAAGTTGATGCTTTTGCAATTGACGATATTTAAAACAATAAGCATCGATCGAGATTTTGCAGGAATTTTTTTTTGTTAAAATCCAATACGCTTGTGCTTAATCGGTAAAGGCTCAATCGATTGAACTAGTGGCAGTGGTTCTCAACCAATGTGTCACTTGATTGAGCCCTGCAGAAACACTTCTACCAAACCGTTTCAAATCAAAGTTTAAAATGGATTTTTACCTACCATGTTTATCATACTACATGTTGGCTATAAATGTGGAGGTATGGTTAGTTTAGAGTATATCTCTCGTAGTAACTTTTAACTCTTTATGTATTATTGATAATTTATATTTTTAGAGAGATCTGTGAAAATCAATCTAGGGTTCTTCATATATTACGATACTATATCTAATTGAGAGAATCAAAGTAAGGAGCATAATTGAATCTTTCATTAGAACATCAATCAGGTGGTTCAAAAAGAATAAGTTGAATGGACGTACTTAGTGTGGAGATCAAAAGTACACGGAGAAGCAGATTGCATGAGGGGCGAGTGTGTTGATGTATTAGTAGGTGGAAGATTTAGGGTGATCTTGTGCAAGTTTAAGTCAGAAGGGACTAAGTGATTCTTGGATTAGGGTGTGGCAGCTTAGTCTGTAACCTCTTTTTTACAATGGATTTTGACTTATCTGGATTGGGTCCCATGGTTTTTTTCCTTTTTAGGGTTTTCCATGTAAAAAAAATATCTTTGCTTTATTTTATTTATTCCTTTATATGTTTTAAGTGATTGCAATTGAGGCACAAACTGAACTAATTAACTGAATTTTAAACAAGGATTAATGATAATTTCATAAGTTAGTTACTTGCAATTTAATATCCATAAGGCCTATACATTCCAATCTTCATAATAACTTAGTGTACCCTGATGTATCAAAGCCTTGGTTAATGGTCCAATACTTCAAGTTTTCCATCTCATAAAAAAACAAAAACAAAAACAAAAAAGACAAAAGGAAAAAAAACGAAGATAATCTTCTCTTCCTCATTTGGTATATAGGAGGGTTGATTGTTGGTCCACATGAAAGACCCCATGCTCCGCGCACAAATCAGCAAAAATTAAGAGTGGATTCGCCCCCAATCCGCTTGAATACGCGCAGAAGGGTTCAATCCGCGTATTTGCCTAGCGTCCAAATGTTTTCTGCCCCGCATAATGATTTAAAAATAGTAGGTGCGTCTGATGGGGATTGAGCACATGACGTGTCGGGTATAAAACAAGGGTGAATACCACCACACCAGCATTTGCTTGTGTTATACATAACACAATTAATATATATATACACCAACTATTTCATAAATTTAATTAATAAAACCTATTATAAATAAATATCTCATTATTACTTATAATAGTCATATTTAAAAAGTCAAAAAAATAATATTTAATAAGTAAAAATAATAATGTATTAAGTGGAATAATACATATAAATAAATGTACAGATGCTCTAAGGATGCTCCCGCTCTCAAATTTTTGTTTAGATTTGACGCTTTCGCGCTCCCGTTCTCGCTTCTGCTTTATGTGACTTAAGTCCCCAATTCATCTGTGTGGAGAGTGATGAAATTAGGCACTTTAAACAAAACCTTGACATTCATGAACTTGTTGTTTAGGTTTTGTGCTGACATCAAGCGACATATATTTCTACGATTTCTTATGGAAGATACCAATTAAGAAATCAAATACAATTTATTTTTCAATTGATGTAGGATGGAAGCTACCCAGGTACTGGCAAAATTGATGAGATTGGTCATGGAAATGGTGAAGGAACAACGCTAAATTTGCCTTTACCAGGAGGGTCAGGTGATATAGCCATGCAAACTGTGTTTGATGAAGTCATTGTACCATGCGCTCAAAGGTTCAAACCGGATATTATTCTTGTTTCTGCAGGGTGAGTTGGTTTCCTCTAAAAGATAGATATACAATCAAGAAGTTGATTATTCTTAATTATTCTTTCCGTTCTTTATCATCATTCTTTCTGATGAAGTAGATGGCTTCCTTGGATTTGCAAATAATGACCTTTCAGCAATTCACATGCAAATGGGAGTTTATATATAGCTATTATTTTGTTTCTCATTAATGCAGTTTGTGTGTGGCTTATATTTTAGGGCTGGGAGTAGAACCAAATGTAAAACACTTGGAACAAAATCACTACTTATGTTTCCTTTTAACAGCAGGGGAAAGATGAACTCTTTGTTTAGGATAAAATTATTCTACGGAAAAAGCAGATGATTCCATCCCATTTATTGGTAAAATATAGGGCTGCAACTCTGGCGGGCCCAACCCGAAATAAATGGGATGGAATCATCTGCTTTTCCCGTAGAATAATTTTATCCTAAACAAAGAGTTCATCTTTCCCCTGCTGTTAAAAGGAAACATAAGTAGTGATTTTGTTCAAATTGTTTTACATTTGGTTCTACTTAGGTGAGTAGTCAGATTGTCAGTGACTTATAACATACTATTGATTGTTTCACCTATTAAACCACTTACATGTCTTGAAACTGAACTATTTCCAGTTACGATGCACATGTATTAGATCCACTAGCGAATCTGCAGTTTACAACTGGAACATACTACATGCTTGCGTCTAAAATTAAACAACTTGCCAAAGATCTATGTGGGGGACGCTGCGTGTTTTTCTTGGAAGGAGGGTACAACCTCGAATGTCTTTCACATTCAGTTGCAGACTCATTCCGGGCTTTTCTTGGTGAGCCAAGCTTGGCACCTGAGTTTGACAACCCTGCCATCTTGTATGAAGAACCGTCAACCAAGGTAAAGGAAGCTATTCAGAGAGTCAAACACATACATTCCCTGTGAATATGTCTGAACCTACTTTGTGGTATATTATATAATTCGGTGTAGACAATCACTTTCGTTTGGTTGTCTTGTTAATTAGTTTGATACAGATTCTTAAATGTAATGGTAGATATTAATTATTAGTTATGACATGATAAAAAATAAAACTGGATAATGAGCATTCCTTTCGTCCAATGCTGGTTTTTCTGGAATTAAATGTTGGGATTATGTACCCTTCAAGCCAACGACTGTGTTGTATATGTCTTTATTAAATGCTTTACATATATAGTGAATGCTAAGTATTGGTCAGCCCATGAGATGGATCGTGGATGTCTTTTTCATTATGCAGGCGATTTATATGTATGATGGGTATTCATGTAATGGATAATGTATTATCATAAAATATTCACATTCAGATTTAGAAGATGGACTCCGTGTCTAAAACGAAAGGAACCGGATTAATGATAGGTTGAGACAATTGCGAGAGCCGTCGTCGTAGTAATTGTTCCTTGTGAGTGTCACGATGAATGACTCAACCACGAGAGAGTGGATGAACTTTTGTATTAGTTGATAATTTTTTTGATTTATTCGGTGGGCCTTAGGGTCTAATATCCTGTACTTTGAGTGGTTATTAATTAATAGCATTAGAACATGCTCTCAAATATTAGAACATGCTCTCAAAAGTTGCATTTGTGCTATATTCTTTATTTTGACTTGATTAGTTTGAGCATGGAAATTCCGGGTCCTCCGTGATTGATAAAATTGGTTTTGATATATACATATTTATTAAATATATTATGTTGTCAAAAATAATATTTTACGAAGTCAAAATAAATGGATTAATTAAGTGGTTGGATTGATGTCATTTATTTATTCGAGAGCTGATTAAGCACGGAGGGGTAAGTACGTTAATTGCCTTAGTGGTTAATCATTTTTTAATTGGAGTTTAACTATTCTTATTTAGTGGAATTAAGATTATTTAATGAGCTAATTGAATTAGGTCAATGGATATTGACCGGGTCAATTATTAGTCCGTTGGAGTCACGAAGAAAATGAGCCCAATGGATCCTCATTCCTAGCCCAAGGTGATGTTTTAAGCTAGATGGTGCAAATAGCAATTTTTGGTTAGAGAAGACTTGGAGTACTCTAAGAATGTATTATGGAGTACTTTTGTCCATTCTCTAGTTTTTGATTTTTGAAATTTTAAAAATTGAAAAAGGAAATATAATGATCTGATATGAGATATAGTGTATATCTTGAGGAAAAAAAAAAAAGAAAAAGAAAAAAAGAAAAAAAAAAAAGACTTGCGTATATTTTCCTCTCTTAACCAAAAAATTGTCTTTTGCTATATCTCACCATGGTTCTTACAAACCAGGCTTAGGGTTCTCATCACAAGGGTCATAAGACGATTCTAAAAGGTAGAGAAATTCAAAGAACAAAGGTGGAGATCTTGAAATTCAATCTCTACGCATCTCCATTGTTCAAGTTTGGAAGTCGTAACGCCCCAATTCGGGGATCCGAATCGTTAATGGGTCCTTACTCGAACCAGAGGACACATAAGGGTACTATGGTCATTTCACATTTAAATAGAAATTCTTCCAAGGGTAAAATAGTTATTTGGCATGGTCATATATGGCTTAGAACTCAAAAAGGGTAAAATTGTCATTTATTAGAGTCATTCAATGCTTAGGAACAAGTCCAGGGGTAATTATGTAGTTATATTGAAGTTTGGGGCAAAAATGTAAATACTGGACCATCTAACCGACTAAATGAGCCCATCTAGTCGACTAGATGACCATTCCAGTGAAGGTGTCAAGTGTTATTAATCGATCAAATAAAGGATCTGATCGATGAGATGGCCATCTAACCGACTAGATGGCCCCATCTAGTCGATTAGATGGTGAACCCAGAAAACATACATTCTGCCAAACCCATCTACCCGACTAGATGGGGGCATCTAGTCGATCAGATGGTCCCTAGATCTAATCTAACTGACTAGATGATCCCATTTAACCGGTTAGATGAAATCCAACCTTAATGTGATCGATTAGATCACTTCCCTGCTGCACACAGATGAAACCTGAATTGCACAAATATGCAAAAACAACCCCATTAACATCATTAACCATAAAAACATTGCATTGAATCATCAAAATAACAAATTTCATACATCATTTGAGGATCAAAATCTTCATTAAACACACATACATCTCTAAAATGATGAAATTGTGTCAAAAAAGAGTAAGGTTACAAATCAAGGCCTCCGTGGCCACAAATACAACAACTTCTCTTGAAGCCGACAAAAGAATAAGGTCATTTACATATGGTCAATTGTCCAAAAGAATGCCTTTACAAAAGATAACAAAAACGGTTGTCAATCTATATCTAAGCTTGCGGGGGTGCATTATCTACAATGTCCTTGCCATGTCCTGAAAATATTAGAATATAGTAGAGCACAACGGCTCAATAGAGATAGCCTAAAGCACACCTCTTGTAATGTTGAGAATCACACCAAAAGTAAGAAAATAAGAGAAAGAGATCATACAATGTAGGGGAGAAATAACCATACAACATTCATTGAATTAGATGCCTTCAAAATGATGTAATGAGATGCACTCTCCCTGTTTCCAAAACCATTTCTTTCACAATCCAACCCACACCGAAAATGTTAACACAACCCGACCCTAGGCGTCACGAAGGGAATTTGCTATTTATCCCTGACCTAGGGCATCTCCCTAGTGTCATTTGAGGCCTAAGTAGCTCAATTATACACGTCCAAATTCTGTCTCGTGCTCCTTTTTAGGTTGGTTAACCCCCGGAGCACATGGCAACTCAAGGCACCCAGTTTTCACAAAACCTTTCGATTCCAAATCGACTTCTCAAAACCTCTGAAAACCATTTCATCAAATCCTTCCAACCTATAAACCCAACCAATGTTTATGATAAGCATGCCATATATCAAATCATTCGTATTTCCCAAGGAAATCAATTTACAACATCATCAAATTAGTATGCTTTAACTTGAATAACCCAAATCATCACATTCATAGCATGATTCATGTAAGACAACAACTATCTCAAGGAAATCAACAAGTAAGAGATAACATCTAGCACATAATCACGTTTTCAACAAATATACAACTAGAAACTCACAAAGATCAAAGACATTGTAATTTAGACTTCCCTACCTCAAATGAAGCAAACCAAGCTTAAGATCCAAGCTTGAAATCCCACTAAAATGATACAAGACCGGTGTCAAAACGTGGCCTTTTCTAAGCTCTACGACTCTTCTAATTGTGGCTTGGTTCAAATCTTACTCATGTAGGCAAGATCTTAGAGAGAATATGAAAATATAGAGAGAAAGAAAAAAGAGCAACAGGGAGAATGGGTGGCTGAGAGAGAGAGGAGATGATGGTTGTGTTGTCCATCTAAATGACCCCTAAAGTCATCCAAACTAGTCAACCCAAGGAACATCCCCTTTGACCCTCACAATGACCACTATGCCCCTTCCATTAAACTCTAATCACATTAAGGCCATAAAATATCTCCTTCCACTAACCATCCTTATATATACACATATATATGCATAAAACACATCAATGCTAATTAAACATATGCAACAAAATCACCAGGACCCGTATGACGTGCAAAATGATGTACGAAAAATAAATAAAATAAAATACCAAAAAATTCAAAAAAATCTGGGACATTACAGAAGTTGAGATTGAATATAATCTCTAGAGGTACAAAGCTCTAATATATATATGTGTGTGTGTGTTATATTCATCATATATATATATTCAAATATAAAGTTGTCTGTACATATCATCAAGGTTCTGGATCAGTTTTATGCTTCTGAAATTTTTTTAAAACCCATTTTCCCAATAGTGATATCGGAGCAGGTCTTTGAATGTATGTAGATATATAAATTTCTAACTCTTACATCATAAATTTATGAATCTAATAATATTGTTGCATGTTTAAATGTATGGTTATATGATAGATGAATGTTATGTAATTTGTAAAGGGCAATAAACTTTGAATTTCTCATGAAAGGGTAAAGTGTATTGGTTTCCCTATTGCTTTCAATTTTGGATATATTTTCAATTGTTGAATTGTATTGAAATTGTAAATGATAAAAGCGTTGTAATTATGACGACCTACTTTGAGTTTGCTATAATGGAGAAGAAGGTAAGTTAACTAGGTTCAAGATTGAAGACCCGGTTTAAGCTAACCTTGCGAGAAGCAATCTGATTGGACTCGGTAATCTAACATGTTGTATATATGAGTCTTTATGAGATTAAAAGTTTATGCTTATCTGCTCATTGCATATTCAAAATTAAAAGAAAGTTTATGCTAATTAAGTTTATATATGCTGATGTGCTGGGTCACTTGTTTGAAAATTCAACTAATGCATTTGATTGACAAGTGTTATTGAATATGATTTGCACCAATTTGTATTTGGTTAATGTTAATGCATATCTTCCCCCTGGTGAGGGGTCACAAAAAACTAACAAAGGTTCGACGAACTATCCTCGAGTTAGAGATAGGGTTCGAGATATGATGAAGATGGATAAGTGTTGGCCTGGGTAAGGGTTGACATGAAAAAGTCAAAGGTCTGACGAGCTTTCTCTAATTTGGAGACAGAGTCAGGGACATGATGTGAAAATGTAAAGTGAAAGTCCTGACGAGGGGTGACAAGATTTGGATAGAGGTCCGATGTTCTGCCTCCAATTTGAAGACATGGTTGAGGACATGGATGAGAAGTGACTAAGTGTTGACCCAGGTGAGGGCCGACATGACCTGGATAGAGGTTCGACGTGTTGCCTCCAATTTGGAGACAGGGTCTGAGACTTAAATAGGAAATGACTAAGTGTTGGCCCGGGTGGGGCCAACATGATTCGGATAAAGGTCCGATGTGCTGCCTCTAATTTGGAGACATAGTATAAGACCTAGATGGAAAAGACTAAGTGTTGGCCTGAGTGAGGGCCGACATGACTCAAACAGAGGTCTGACGTACTGCCTCCAATTTGGAGACATGGTCTGAGACCTAATGGTGGATCCTTAAGTGAGACTTCCTTTTTATCTTAAGGTTGTTATGTATATGACAAGTATTGAAATAGACATGTTATAGACAAGTATGGACATATGTAAAGACTAGAAGAACAGAGACATTGTATCCATCTTCTTCTGTGATATGCAAACCCGATGCAGGATGACACTGTTGGTTGACTAATACACTTCT